CCCTGTCCGAGGACCCAGCACACTCGTCCGGGAACACCAGGTGGTGCGACATGCCAGAGGAATGAGATGTACTCGACGGGGAAGCTCTCACCATGATCCTCAGGTCTCCCTGACTATGAACCGAAGTAGCCCGCCGAAAACCGGAGGAGCTAGAGCGGGGCATGGCAAGGGGGATACCCTCCCGTTTAATGAGGAGGTTCCTAGACCACAACGTCACGATGGTCATGTTTCCGCACTGAGAACATGACTCATCCACATCTTTAAAAAGACACCCGTCGCTCGTGAAGCTCTTTTAGAAATTGCTATTTTTTTTAAAGGAAAAATACTCTTTTAGAGAGAGCTCTTAAGCGCCCAGGGGAGGTCGCGGCGAGACCACAGAATGGCAGCTGCAGCTCGCCAAGGTTTCAGAAGCCTGGATGGCAAGAAAAGGGCACGCCGTAACACCAACGCCAGCTGCTTCCAAACACTCGCGGAGATTCGTCTTTGTAGAAGGCTCGGCTCCGAAGCGAAAAGCTGATGTACGTTTGCACGCACTCTCCTTTTATACCCGTGCTGCGGGGCGGGGTGCGCGTGGCGAAACACGCATGCCAACTGTCATTGGCTTGTTTAGTTAACACTCGAAGGTGATTGGGCTCTCGGGCGAGATCCCAATTCGTCAGTCACAACTGACGTAACGTCGAACGTGACTGACTGAAAGGGAACTAAAAAATAAAACTAAAATAAAAATGTATAAAAACTATATAGACATATTTACAAAAAATGACAAAAATATACAAAAACTTCCTCAAAAAAATACCATACCTTTGAAATTAAAATGAAAACTAAATAAAATGGATTCAAAATATCAATTAAAAACTACAAAAATAAGTGTTCAGATGCTCTTAAAGGAACAGCTCAAGAAAAGGACACAACCGCCATCAAATTATCATGACAGTAGTTCATGTGACTTGAGTGCAGTATATTTTCTTTTTCGGTGGAACTTACAATTGGACTAGATGGTTTGAAACAGGTTTATTTTAATATATGTTTTGTTGCTCTAACTCACCCCAGCCCAACACGGTGATCTTCCTCATGTAGTTTGTGATGGTGACGTTCTGTCTGATGAGCCATAAGTACATATGAAGAGCTTGAATGAAGAACCAGGTGAATGAGGCCAGCATGGAGTAATGCAGGAGCAGCGCTATGAAGACGCACGCAGTGTTGTCTCCTGTGTTAGCGATGCTCTCGTTTGACAAAAACGAGGCATTCAGTAGACACAAAGCCACAAACATGTTCATCAAGATCTTCGTGGCCTGATTTGATTTGGCTTTCCTATTAAAACGTACAATAAACTGCTTTTGTAACCTAGGCAACTTTTTAAAGTAAACAAAACTAACTAGATGTTAAGATACTCTACCGTAGCAGGAAATGCATGAATAAAGCGACTGCCATAAAAAACATGGAGATACCGCAGCCGATAGAAGTGATAAAAGCCAATGATTCCTGATGCTGCACTATGTCGCTTGCATCTGACTGAGGCATCTGAGAAAACACAATGAAACCGATCAGCCGGAGGATTTTAAAACCATTTACTGATTGTTAGCAAGAATCAGGGCCCGTATTCACAAAACATCTTAAGGCTAAAAGTAGCTCATAACTCACCGATTCAGGAGAAAATCTTAAAAATAATGGGCGTGTCAGTCCTAAATTTAGGACTCCTACATTTTTGTTCTAAGAGTATTTCACAAAGTGTTTTAGCGCTAAAATTAGCTCCTAAATCTGTGAAACGTTAGGAGTAGTGAAGAGGACTCCAAAGTCACTAAGACCAAATCTGAACTATCCTAAAATGGCTGTTGCCAGCAATCTACCTCGGAATATAAACATTTTAGAAACATTTAACGATAATGAGCTTTTAAAAAGGTATCGGCTTTGGTTTGGAGCTTATCCCAACTCCAAATGTTTGATTATATCCTTAATATACAGTATAGCTGTTCTCGTGTCCAGTTTGGATCAGCCATGATTATTCTACTCTGCTAATTAAAAGGCTGTTTATATACATATTACCAAAATTTTATTAGTCGCAGAAAAAAAAATTCCACATGAAGTGACGAAATCAAGCAGTCCGTGACGGACAAATTGTTAACGGCTGGTCTATGTGGTAATATAGTACATCGGGCAGGACATCCATATGCTCTCCTAACATTCATCGCTTCAGCTCTCCTGTTCAAGCTGAACAGTAGCGTGCTTGGCCTATTGCATGACAGATGGAGGCGCCGGTGCGATAATTTGCTCTTAAAATACTTCATCATTTTTGGTCATACAGATAATAGTAATGCATCTTTTGCATCTGTCAAGACTCTACGTTTATTCCTGTGCACTCAGAATAACAACAAAACGTTGCACTTTTGAAAAATAATGAAAGTAAACAGGATGCACTTTCTGCTGTCTTGGTCTCTGTGAACTTGAGCGCGTCACTTCGAAACTCCATGTATGCTTGCCTTATTACAGACATGAAAAATATATCTACAGGCCTAGAGAGTGAAACTTTTAAATGAAAAAAAAATCAAATAGAAAACAAATATTCTCAGAATATGTAATCATATATAATGTAATATGCATACAAGCGCATACTGCGGAGATGACAGGTCAGTGTCGCCGACTTCATCTCTTAAACCGAAAACAGAAAGCACTAGTGTAACAATAAATTATTAAAACGTTAATGCAGTGTACTTGCTGTTTTTCCCTAACACATTCATAATTATTATATTTGCCGGTGCGCTGTGTCAAGCCTTTTTTGTGTGTGCTTGAGCGCTTATTAGACTATGTAGGCAATTAAATGCTCATTATTATGATTTATATGGTTTATTAATAAAAGTGCGACTAATAGTCGACTAATGCTTAAAATTAACGACTACTAGTCGACCAGAAAAATCTTTAGTCGAGGGCAGCCCTAATGCATATTGACGAATTGTTTAAGAGAATCATACATATAAGAGGCTGACAATTAGCTGAATATATAGCCTACTTGTTTAATTAGTGACACTTAACCTGTATTTTAAAACTTTTATTTGAATATGGCAACATAATATTGCGCTCTACAATATTTCTATGAATAAATCTCTTACAGAGACTATCAGCCAATCACTGTGTGCATAGTTAATAAGCATGCTGACATCATCCATAGCAACAAGGTCAACCCCGCCCCCTTACTCTGAGCTTAAGACTTCTGTCTATTCCTTAGTAAAAGTTTGTCTCAGCAGCTTTGTGAATAGGTTTTAAGAGAAAACCCTTAGCTAAAATCTTTTACTGTTATTTAGGAGAACTCTTAGTGGTAAGATAAAATGTTTTGTGAATACGGGCCCAGATCTTGTTAGCAAATTTAAAATGTTTCTTTCGTTATCTTTTATGCATTCACTAGCACATAGACGTGACCTAAAATACTCTGATATTGATTTAATGGGATTTTTAAATGAAATATGAATTAGGAAAGTGTAAGTTCTTCTTCTCTGAGAAGCTTCTCACCATCAGCACTGCAAAGAACGTCAGATGCGAACAAGAGCACTTTATGGTGTTGCTGTCGATTGTTTCTGTCACACAGCCGAATGACGTCCAATTAAGTTCTCCTTCAAAGAAAAGAGAGCGCTGAATGAAATTAATTGTATAAAATTTGTTTGTTTATAGGAACTGATCAATACAGTCATAAATGAATGTACCTTTGCCATCCCAAGAAACGCAGGACGCCTTACCGACCTGTTAGAACATGTTTATTTTTTACTTTGCTTTCTCAGTTTAATATTTGTAAAATAAGTTTTGCAGCAAAACCTTCATTACCTTATCATTATGTTTAAAGGACATGTCAATAGTGTTGATAAGGTTGTATATATTAGCCCCCATCGTCACGCCATAAACCTCATTGTTCAAAACACTGTAATTTTGAGTTTCATTCTAAATTAGAAACCAAGATCAGAGCAATCATTAATCAAATATAAATATGTGTGAATACAATAGATCAAGAAACATTTGTCAAAACAATAAAAAAGTGTCTGCTATTATATTTTCACTATAACATACCTTTTACAATTTTCACAAAGGGGATAAAACAATCCCAAAGAAGCATCTTAACAGTAGTGGATATGACTGTCATGATCATGGACTGTCTGTGTCATGTTTTGCCCCTGTTTCTGTTCCCTTATTTGGTCATGTTCCTGTCCTCGTTTTGTTAATTAGTTTGTTTAGTCATCCCATGCACCTGTGTTTCCCCAATCATCCCCTGTATTTAAGTCCTAGTCTGTGCAGTCTGTCTCTATCGGTTCTACTTGTTATGTTCGTGTGTTTCCTTCCGTTTCCAGTGTGGATGTACCCTGTTTGGATTGTATTAGAGACTGTGTTCGCTATTCCTCGTCTCCATCGTTCCTCGCTAACGCAGATCGTGACAATGACAAGTTCAACTCTTCTTAAGTTGTGAGTTGACAACTCCGTAGACAACTCATAAATATGACAGATTTGTGTCACAGTGCTGCGTGTAAATGTATTTTTTAAAATATTGCTTTGCGTTTCATGGAACATAATGATGACGAAATAAAAATTTTCGGTGAACATTCCTGTAAACATTCCTTAATGTCCAAGTGCTGAATATTAACATTTTGTGAGTACCTTATTTCCCATGTTTTTAAACGGTAGAATTCCAACAAAAGTTTTTCCATTGTTTTCCCATCGTGATTTATTAAAGGCTTCACTGGAAATCTTCACAAACCAGGGAAAACCAGCCTTCAGGTCACTTTGACAATCAAAAACCTGTAAAAACCGTAATTAGCGTGATAAATGAGGATTCATATCATGTTTTAATGCTTCTGAATTCTTACATTTATCATGTCCTTTTCTGAAGAGTAGCATATGTCCTTGGTTTCTGTGTTCTTGTCTTGTACATGAAGTAGACCAATAACATCCCCCATGACAATCGCCGCATTGCTTGTATTGCTTTTTTCCATCTCTTCCTTCTTAGACTTCAGACTGTTCAAGACGTCTCTGTAAAATGTATTGAATCACATGGTATTCTGTACCTGGTTTTAGACTTGATATCCACTGGTAAAACGCACACTTACGATGCTTTTGAGTAATCAGTAGATCCATGCTTGTCTCTTAGATTTGTAGTTATATTGAAGATTGTTCCGTTCTCGCAGGTCACACACTTCCAGTTATTATTCCCATTTTGACTCAGAATGTATTTGTTTCTTTCATTCTCTTCAGCAGAGAGAAATAAACAAGCGACGGGTTTTATATATATATATCTGTGCTTTTGAATCTCATAGATTAAAGTGATATATTATTTCTTTTTTTTTGGAAACCTTGAAATGTAGTTTAATTTCATCATTATGTTTAGAGATGCATATTATCACAGTTCACATAAGTGTTGTCACAATACCAAAATTATTATTCCCATTTTGACTCATTTGACTTCGATATGATACCTGACTAAAATATCTCGATACTCCTACTGAACCGATAACATGACAAAAATGTATAAAAAAATATCTTACCTAACCAGCGTCCGTGTTTTTTATCATTTCCTTCCCCTTAAAAAAAAACAAAAAAACATCACGTGCCACCACACAGGCCTATGGTGAGCAGCTACCAGTCTATGACTATGATACAGCTGCGGCTACAGGTGTGTAGAGATCTTTGCAACATTGGTAAGTTAGCTTAGGGTATGAGCTGGGGTGGGAAATATGACCAAAATATTATTCAACACTAGGAATAATTTTGTTTCACTAACAATTTATATCATGATCTAGTAATTTTTGTTATTAATATGATCATAGATGCAAGTAACAAACAAAAGGACAAATACAATAAAACAAAGACACAAATGAAATAAACAATGTTTTTAGGTACTGCAGGTCTATTTAACAGTAGCATTCAAGAAAGAGATGATACAGAAATTGAACAAAGTAATCAAAAAGTAAAAGCACTGCATTCTTTACTGTATGAATGAAACATTCATACATTTATCCTTATTAAAGCTAGTAAATTTAGTCAAGATTAGCGAGTGATTTTCAATTTTTCTTGATTAACATTGTAGAGACAGACAGTAGCAGGAATATCAGTCTGCTGTCACTTTAAGAGCTGCACGCTCCCAATTTATTGATACACACGTGTTTTCTTTCTCAGCTGTTTACGTTCATTTAAGTCATAAACCAAGATAGGCATTTTAACATGATTGTGTGTCTTTGATTGCTGAAGAGCAGGAACTGCTGAAAGAGCTCTGAATAAGCGATCGCGCGTGAGAGGACTTCTGTGTGATATTGCCGGAGTTCTTTTTCGAGGTTTATTGTGCTTAAAAAAAGTATTTTTAACATCAAGCACGTCCCGCACTTTTTTCTCATTCATGCATGTTTCTTATTCACTCTTAAATTGTCAGTAATTGCTGTGCTGTGCTGCGCGGATATATAAAGTTTGACACGGCCAGTGAGCATGCAGGGAGCTGAAACAGAGCACTGCACACACACTGTCCTGCTGTCTGTGGCATGTCAACACAACTCAGGAAATATGGCTCTCATTAAAACACTGTCATTATTAAAGTAACTGTACTAGTAAAGGGCGGAAAGCCAATCACACAGAGTACATTTTTCATTTAAAAACATGAGATGCAGTGAGATGGGGATGGGGGGGAACCCGCCATAAAGTCTCAATATATGTTTTTTTCAAAGTTGAACTTGTATTAATTTTACATGGATTTCTAAACATGCGGCTCCTTTGTGCGAGACGCGAGTGCAAAGGTGATAGATGTCCCTCTAGAAAATGTGCAATATGTGTTCTGTGTAAACGACTTTGTTTCAGTTTTGACGTAAACAAGATCTTCTCCGCATTGATGTTCTCTTTTCCCGCAATATTTGTAATTAACAACGCAGCAGCGCCGCATCTAGTGGCTTCATTTGGACAGACTAAAAAAAACATTATAATGCAACGACACTTACATCGTCATCGCATCTCGTGCGCCGCTGATGAGGCTGCCTCCTTAACGCACACCTAAAATTCTAATGCAATGTTTTTGCATTCGAATGTGGATTTTTATTTCAAATTAGACGAATATTCGAAATTCAAAAAAAAATTTGACAGCCCTACGGGGTATCGTGATGCCATTTTAGTACCAGTATATCGTGCAACACTAGTTCACATATTCATTATTGACACCGTCCATTCATTACTGATTAATGAGTCCTACCATAAAGATGACAACTGGGAAGAATAAGCAGATTTGTGTACACTTGATATTTATTTGATTTATGGTCAATAAAATGCTGCTATTATCAGCATAAATTAATGGACAACACACGGTACAGGAGGAACAAAATCGTTGTAAGCAAAAAACATTTTTACTAACAAATATGATGTCATTTAATGTTGTACAATAATTATTTGATTTTGAAATCAAACTTTGATGGGTATGAAACAGGCAATTGAAACGACTACTAAAAGCAGTTTATGAATCATAAAACAGGCTTACCTTTGCATGTACCGCTGTCAAACAGGGCATATCTACATGCCACACTGGGATCTACAGGATCAATGTTCTGACAAACTCAAGAGACCATGACAACATAATTATCAAAACATGCTGCATATGAAATCATATGATAAAAGTGTAGCTTATAATTTACGACAGGCTTCCTGTCTGACCACAGATAGCAGCTGACTTTGATACCTTATTATGAATTTTCCAAGTAAATTTATCTTGAAAGAAAAATGTGAGGATATATTCACTTTTGAAGCAAACTTGTTTCTTTTCTTTTTTTAAGATTTAAATCAATTGCTTCAGAGTAATGTATTCATTTTGAGAGAATATTGATTTACTAAAAACACCTGCCAGTGGGTTATTAAAATAAAATGTAAAGCAAAATTAAACATGAAAGCAAATTTTAAGTTTAGATTTTTTACCCTGTAGGCAGATATTTTTGATTGTTTTAAGCATAAAGCTTACATTCCGATACATGTCTTTGAGACAATATAGTGTATCAATTGGCTTCTCATAAAAACATCTTGTAATATTTCTATTAGAAAAGTGGTTAAAAGTTCCAGCTTGCTCTGTCTTGAATGTTTAGTGAAAACTTGACTTTAACAAACCTCTCTGAACCCATTCAGAAATGCTGGTCTAGATACTAACATAATATAGTCTAATAATAAAAACTGTTGTGTTTAGTATTTAAGCTCTACATTCATCAGTGCAACATTCCTTTCTTTCTTATTTACGTCCAGGAGAATATAACGCAAGATAATGATGTAAATTAGTTAAAAAAAACTAATTCAATAGTGGCATCTTACACTCTTTGGTTAAATAACCAACTCTCCTGAGTTTCAGAACATAAACTGAAATTAAAAACAATATAACAGTGAATGAATCTTATCTTACCTGTCTGTAGATTTACGCTTCTGATGCTTATTATGCCACCCTGGCAAGTCTTAATTTCTTTAAAAGAGAAGAGATTAACTTATAACTAATCTAAAATAGACTCTGTTTGTACCATGATCTGCTCTTTCTCGGGAACTCATTACAGAGCTTACAGGATAATGAACATTCAGACTCAATTTAAAGAGCTTGTTTTGTAGATAATTGTGCTCTTAAGTGTGTTAGGATCTGACTTTAGTTTGCATTGATCAGTGATCAATCATTGTGGACAGCTTTGTTCTCATGTGGGGTTGTGTGGGTCTGTAGGGGTTGTTGTGAACTAAAAAGAACAACAAAACTCACAACCTTCAGCATTAACACTCTATTGTAGAACGGCACACACCTGCTGGATTCAGAAGTGATGGCAAACGATTATCATTTGTCAATAACCACAGTTTAATGCCTTCAACCGTCTCATTCATTCTGATTTCATAATGCTCCCCCTGCTTTGTTATGCTGAAACTGTATAATCTGCATTGTCCTGAAACCACAGAGAACATTTGCATTTGTGCAGAAATACTTTTTAAAGAGCTTTGAACTCAAGAATGGTTTATAAATAAAATATAAGCGGATTTTACCAAGAGAAGAGATGTTTAGTGTGACAAGTCCTGTTGGTTCTTGAACTATCAGACATCTCTGTATTATATCTGAAAGAAAAACAGAAATGAACTCAATGAGTTTGTCAGTCATCACAAGTGCTTTCAGATAATAAATATGCAGTATCACACAGTCATGTTAGCAGTATATTTCACATCTACCTGGAACTGTTGAGCTACTTCTGTTCCAGAAACATTGATCTGTCGAATTGACTTGGATTATCAGTGTTTTTGAGCAGGCTGCACAAACATGGTCACATTATTAGACTATTAGATAATGAGGTATGACATGGTATAAAACTCTGAATTAGATGTCAAAATTTAGATGCCCACATTTAAAAATTTTTTTAAATCGTGTTATTTTTTGTTTACATTTTTAATTTGTTTTCTAATGTCCACCAAATAACATATGAATTAGCATATATTTCTCTTTAAGTTGATAAATGCATTTTTCAAGGAAACATACTTATCTGGCGCGTAGAACAACAGATGATCATCAGCCACAGCAAATTCTGCTTTTGTCGAGACATAATTCCCAGAGACAGCGGCCTGTTATAGAGACACATGTTATATCTTGTTTTCTACAGAGAGAGCTAATAAATCTTTAATCATTTTCTTATTACATTCTTGAGCTAAAGTCCACAGTCCAAGAGTTGAGAGAGTCTGATGCGTCCACATATGAAACTATTTAAGAGACGCTGGACAATGACATACAGTTCATTTGCAAACATGCAAATAATTTGGGCTTTAATTGAGAATCTCATTATTTTCTTACATTCAGTATATAAAGCCATCAT